AGCGAAGGATAAGAAAGTTAGAAAGATACTTTAAAATGAATTGAAAGAAACCGAGACAGGGCAATATCGATACGAGAACAGAGGGGAAAGACGGTGTTAGGGAATATATTTCTAAAATCAGAAGGCCTGAGAGAATCAGATAAAATTGGAATATCGTGGGGCATAAAATGAACGGCAGAAACATAATCTCGTTGCGAGAAGGAGACGGTGGCGAACGGTGAAAGCGGAGCAACGATCAGGGACACGAGTGGAATGGAAAGCTATAAAGCGGAGGGAATGGCGGGCGAGCGGACAGATAAAACTTTTGTGGGTGTAGCGGAGGGGCGGTGAACGGGATGAACGGCAAATGATCGGAAGCTGCAGTGGAAGGAAACGTGGAAAGCTAACAGGCGGCTCACAAGTGGCTCATTCAGGAGGAATGCCGCGTACGATCGCTGTACGAGTTGTTTCGTAAACTGCTTAGAACCGCGGCAACCGTTTAGCGCTCTTCTGTTATCCGGATTTATCGGGATATAATCGCCGCGAAATATTGGCTGCCCGAAACAAGCAGACGGATGAATTGTTTACGATTCAGTCCTGCGTTCCTGCTTCGGATCTGCCAAAAGTGTCATTGCGTTAATTAATAAACGTCTCGTTTACTGAAAGCTTCTGAAATTTCCATCACAGTGTTGACGAACGAGTTTACTCGTTTATCGAAGGCACTTCAGATTTCTAGAGACAATTACCAAACCACTTGACGTAGATTATGGATTCAGTAGACTAGGTTCGCACGCGTGTGACACTAAATCGCTGAATCAAGCTACGATCGATTCTACAATCTCGAATTCTATTCTTCCTTTTGTTCGACGTCTAGCGATCCCAACTTTTCAATAACCGTTTAATCCTTAACCGACTGGAATAGAACAATACAAATGGATAACAGATAGAAAGAAATTCACGGAAGCGAGCTAGCACTATACTCAACGTGTTAATCGTAAATGTTACAACAATAACAGTGATTAAAATAATAAAATTATGTTTGTCGCCATATACAGGCCATTGGACTGGATTTTATGGGAACCCCTACCTGTTTTAACAATTTTTTCTATATTTATTTGTAGTATGACAATTGTGCCATTTAAAGGTAACATTTCGATGACTCCCAAATATTCTCGAATAAATAAATAGAGCGTCATATTGAGCTGTAATCGAATGAACCAACGTCGACGTGAACCTCAAAGTGAGAAACCAAGAGCACTTCGGACCGCAAAGGGTTAAGGGTTAAAATAATCATTAAAGAATCCTTCGTCCACCGGCAAAGCCAAACTTATTGCATCCGAATCCTATTCGTAGGCTCCTAAATCCCAGCAATCCAGAATCCGTGGATAGCCGTGGGCAAGTTCGAAGCTCCGAAGCTTTACCAGATGCACGCGAACGAAGGGCTGCGAGGGATAACTCATCAGTCGTTGATATCGATGCCCGGCGTGCCCGAGGCTGTGGTTCTTCCTCGCCAAAACAAAGTAATTTATCTGGCCTGTGACGCGACGGATCTGCCGTCTCACGTTCTGAATCGGCCACGTTACAAATTGCCCCGCAACATTAGTTCTGTTCGACGGCCAGTCTTCCGAATTCGCCGCAGGTGTTTCCGGGCCGAGGGATCACGTGGAACGAACGACTGGGTTTCGACAAATCGTTGACGGCTACGCCGGCGAAATTCTCCCTTTGATCGCGTTTGTAACGAGTAGCGTCACTCTTTGTTAATTATACGAACGAATTCCATTAATTCGGAAATATTGGATGGGCTGCGAACTTTCTGTGAAACCTATGTACTCAGGGGATAAAAGGAAAATGTGAAAGGAATTTCTGCAGTTCGTTAATCCATCACATGTCATACTAATGAGTTAACACTAGAACTACTAATCCCTATAGAAATTGTAATTATCTTTGGTTTCTTCAGATATCCATTATAATATTCAAGTGAAACTATTTATTTCCAAGATCATTTCGAATATTCGATGCTTCGAAGATATCAATAACTGCGAAACGAGCGAACCGAAACCAGCCATTTTGTCTAGTACGCTAGTTCTAATGTCAAAGTACCTCTATCGAGTATTTCATCCATATAAGAACTAGAAGCTACCTATTCGATCGAACGTTTCTCCCAAGTAAAGAGTACTAACAATTTCTTCCATTCCATTGAAATTTTCATTTAACCAGCTCCCAATCAGTCGAGAGTCCACAGTCAATTATAAAGATTTAAAGCTCCAGTTACCGCGCCGTATTGTTTCCGCTGACCCAAGAGAATCCGCAGGATACGGAATCAAGAGAACGAGCCGCGAACATCAAAGGGACACTCCTCGATCAAATTCAATACCGCTGTTGCTGACTAGAAATCCAAGAAGCGACGTATCGGTGCACAAAAAGGATTCTCGGGGCGGCACGGAGCGGAGAGGGAAGGAAAGGAATCGCCGACTTTTCCCGGGGTTCGCTCGAAAGAATGAAATTAAACGTACCGTTTAAGTAGCGTCCAATTCTAGACGCCATTTGTTCTTTTATTGCCCCTTTCGAAGCCAGATACCCTTCCGGCTCGATGTCCGACCGTCGTGCGCCGGCCCGGGCAAATATTTCACCGTTCGCCGTGGCACCGATTTACCGGATCGAATCGATGGACCCTTAAACTTTGCTAAATTTGCAACAATCGCGGCCGCTCGTGTTCCGGAAGAAGGTCGATGGATATGGGGAACTGACCTACATGCCGCGGAGTGTGCTTCACTTCTTCTCCAGGAGTCGCAACACCTGTTCTACTTCGAGAATGCTCCGCAAAGATGCCGGAGATCTGTTGGCTAATTTGAATATTGAAAAGTTCGTGCGGCGGGGTATGTCGATATTCAGATTTTGTCCGCGAAACTCGCGAAGTATGTGTATTCATAATTTATCGGCCGGCCGGAGGAGGTGGCCGGTGTGCTCGATGTCGAAGTTAACGGACTAGATACCCCAGTTGTTCGAAAATTCACTCGATAAGAGTCCGCGAACGTTTTGCTATCTCTTAGGTATCTCTCTTTACTAATTATTCTGTGTAATGGAAGAATAGAAATAAGTTTTTAGTTTCTGTTGGAATAAATCGTGACAGATTTCGAATGCTGTAACTTTCTGAGCAACTTGTGATCTTATCTTTTAGATGTACCTATTCGCTAATTACTAATCAATCTTAATATAAGATAAAAATAATTTCAATTTCATCTTTACTAAAATAAACGACGAAACTTAAAGCGAAACGGTTCTTTAATAAAATTCCTGAATTCCAATTTCGTCGATCCCACTTTTATACTTTCCTTTGCGCCCGATCGAGTTCAAGTATATTCCGTTCGTCCCGTCAGTCGACAAGGCCAGGTTTCCGTCAATCAGGAAAGGATCCCGTCGGTGATACGCAAAGTTTCGCTCGCATTCGATCCCGAAACCGCTCCGAGACGCTCGCGCTCGCGCGGCGCGGGCTCACCGGCGGAATATCGCGGGACGAGTTCCCCTCCGCAATTTTCCCCGATGCAATCCGAACTTTCCGTACTCCGGCGGCGTTCAAGAATTTTCGTATGAGCAAACAAAACGACGGCATTGTGTACACGCCGGAAGATAACCGGCGCATCTTGCGCTTCGGCTAGTACAATCAAATTTGAGACCACTCCCGCGTTAGACGCGCGATCCACGGGGACGGAAATGCGAATTACTTTGCACGGAGTTTCGTGCGGGTCCTCTGATTGCGCGAGGGTTAAAAAGTTGTCGCTGGCTCAAAAATTTAAATTAAATATTCCATTTTTTTTAATTCATCTTCCGTTGACACTAGACAGTCGTCTTTGAGTTTTACCTCTGGAATCTGGACCTCTAGAAATGGACGTTTTCATGGATACGCGTTACTTGTTCGCAGTATAATTATATATAATAAATTCTTATTAAGTATCGACTAATGGAAAGTAACGGTTCCAAACGTTCCATCCAGTGAACACGATAATTTACATTCACTCGGAATTACCGTGTAACGAGGATTCAACGACGCATTATACGAAACGTTACGCTGATTGTCCACCGTTTCTTGCTTCGATTAGCGAATCTGTTTTTGCAGGGGACGCGATATAGCTGGACACCAGAGAACATCAGATGCTCGATGTCCTACCACTGAAGATTATTGCTGCCTGCAGATTCTTGATGACTCCATTTTCCCTGACCTCTGCTCTCGCGAGACTCATTACCTCTAGTATCGATGTCACCAGCTGCTCAGTGTGTCTCATTAATCTGTTACCTGGGGAATTTACTTGTAACTGTTTTAATATAAGTAAAATCAAACAATGAATTTTACGCACACCAAATGGACAAATGCGCATGACATATTGTACTGAAATATTATACTGAAGAAGTAATAAATAAACGATAGTTCATTGTTAAAGAAGTTTGCATTACTTTGACTTTCAAAGCGACGTGTATACTCGTCGAACACAGCTAACTTATAACACGCTGCGCCATCTTGATTTTGCGTACCATCGATCGCCTCGTGACACATTATACTCTTCCACGTCGAAAGGAAAAAGTTGCAGAAACTGTTCGAGACTGCATTCCTTCCTCCGGCTCTAACTTATACGTTTCCCGCGGCTAGCGTCCAGAACTGACTTTTAGCAAATCGTTCCTGGAAAACTGAAATTTGTCGAACATCGCGGGCCAATGTCCGCGATTTTTATCGGCGGCAGTCCCGTCCGCGGGAACAAACTTTGATCGGAGCCCAGCGAAAGGAAAATGGTCGCTATTTCCGTTTGTCTTGCGAACTGCGACATATTTTTCATTCCGGTGAATCGCTGTTTGGTACATTTTCACAGAAACCGAAAGAAATCTCTAATCTTCTCAGCGTCGAGCCTGTATCTCGTAATTCAACGTGTATCGTGGCCTATTTTTAGGACGTCTCAATCGCAATCTTGTACAGTTTCAAATCAATTTATTGATTTCGTGCAATACAATTCCAAAACTGTTTAACGGTTCATCGTAGAAGATAAGTGATTTATGGAACACGTTTCAATGCTACACTTTTCTATGTGATTAAATTTATTGCGCTCTAAGCGGTGAATAAGTGTCATAGGTAAGTAAAACTGTTTACTTTAATGCGGGTTCCGATATCGTTAAAAATCTTCTTGCACAGTCCTCGGCCGCGGAAGCAGCTCGTTGAAATAGAGACTTTGCATCGGAAGCTGTTTACGCGGAGTTCCAGCTTCCTCCTCTGTTTCCGGTTCAGACGGTGGCATCAGAAGCTCCATTAGAAACAGGAGGAAATAATAAATGATTTCGACTATGCTGATGAGGCTGCAACCGAGGAAAAACCCGCAAATGCCGCCTATGTCACCTGTAAAATATTATTTATAATAGTATCGAGGAAGTTTCAGTGAAATAAGAAAATATATGTATTTATAATTCTTCCAAAACTTCGGGCACACTTTTCAAGCTTTAAATATTCGCGCGCCTTGCAAATGCGGCGCCAACGCGCATGCGCAACTCAGCACTTAAGGACGCTACGTAGTGTAAGGAACGTGGATTCAAATTGTCTGTGAATTTATCGAAGTTAATTGCATTCAACGTCAACTGTGACCTAGGTATCGTATTGCATCCGTTTCTTTTATGTATAATGTACCGATTACATATTCATAACCTATATAACGAGCAAATTAAAATCGTTAAATTCGCTGTAAACTTTCTGATGCACTTCTTAACCTCTCTTTTGGCTCTGAGCGTGGGAATCATCGAAATTATGATAAAATATCAAGTTAAAATGAAATAATACTTGAGAATTATTTTTCAATCGAGTCTAATGCGAATCTTCCGATATAAATACATGCGAGAGAGAAAGATTTTATTTATAATTTCTTTTCTTAGCTATGGAAGACTCTTCTTCAAACGAAACACTCCTGCGCATGCGTGCTTCGAACGTTGTAACGGTAAGTGAAGCATCTTTTTGAAATATTTTGCATGCATTGTTTCAGGTAATCAACATGAATTTACATACATTTTAATTATACGAAGCGAGGGAAGAATATTCGAGTAAACTGTTTCCAATAATTAATAATCTGCTAAAGATATAAGCGGAAATTCTTGATTACACTCACTTAAATAGTCGTACCATTCGTAACTCCTCCTTTGTCTCAAGTACACCGTATTGGTATTAGCGAAGAATATATCCAGCGTAGTGTAACCCGTTATATTATCGCTGGAAAATGTTCGAACGTAATTCACAGCGCAATGTTCCAATAAGTCGATATTAAAAATCCATTAAATATAATGTTACACTTACTAGAATCTGTCTAACTCCAGTTGAAAGGAATTTATATGGCCCGAGACTTCGTAAATTAGGTCATCGCACTCCGGGTAACACGCGTGGCAAAACAGCGTTTCATTTTTCTTTACCAGGCGCACCAGATTCTTGTCCCGGTATGGCACGAGGTAACGTGTCTTGTCTAGGATTAGAAAAATGACGCGCGTTCCTTGATAAACTACTATCATTCTTTTAGTCTATTATGTGAACCATAGTAAATTACTCGATTAAAAAACATTTTAATATTAAACCACTAATAGATCCCCAAACAAGTAGGTCTAAGAAAGCAGTAAATTGGAATGAGTCACTTAGAAGCCAGTGTGGTTCAGTCTAGACAACAGAAATTGAGAAAATTCATGGTTTGGCTTCTGAAATAATTATACAACATATTGGGAAGCTATAAAGAGAAGAGCTGTCCAATCTAGAGAAAACGAAGAAACGAGTGAATCCTTGAGTAACTAAAAAGAATATTGTTTATTCCATTAAAATTTAGAATTAGGAGATATCAGAAAATCGACTTAATGGAATTGACTTCTCAGCGACTCAATTAATGACTCACTTGCGTATCTCCTCAAACAAGGCATGTCTTCCATTATGCAGGTCCTATTATAGGCTACACAAAGACACAGAACGATTTGAAATTCATTGAAATAATCGAATTGAATGAATCGTTATGATTCCTTTGCTCACCTTGATTCCCGATAGGCTGTGGATGAAAGAACAGCTTGCACTTGCAAAACTGCCAAATATCGTCTATCTTGCAGACGAGGATGCAATCGCTGGCCGAATACGATTCGAAGATCGTACGCTTCTCGTCGTGGAATAGGCACTTACGTTGACAGAGGGGATAAGATCGAATTGTATGAGAGCTGGTCTGACCTACCGCTCGTAGTTTCACATACTTCCGTGTCTGAGGCGCGAGTAGAAACTCCGACATGCCGCCACTGCTTACATCCGGGTAATCGCGGGGCTGAAATATTGTCACCTGAAAGAAATCGTGTTCGATTCAATTTTACGACTTCCTTTTCAAAATATACTCATAAAATTCGATCATACATGTTTCGAGATACAATCCAAGAATCTGAATGATTGAGCTCCAGTTTGATCAAGGCTATGAATCATTTATATCACGGAAACTAATACTCGATTCATCGAGATTCTAATCATTTCCACGAAATTTGATTGAGACCCTTATTGACTTCAGTGACGTTTAATCATCTCTATTCCATTCTGCAGAAGATAAACGTTATCTTCTACTTAATGTACCGTTAATAGCAATCCTATCGAATACAAAGAGGAATTGAAGTGAAAATCTTTTCTTCATTGAATCACCTCCTTCCATTCTCACGCGAATACTTTTCACTGTCAACTCGTATGTCGTTTAATCGCGACAGCATCGAATTCACCATGCGATATAGCGTAAAACAGCCGAAAGACAAGCCTTTCCATACAAATCCACGGCGATATCGGATTACAGCGAGCGTAATGACGCGGAAAATCTACCGATGGTTGCGTAGATTTCCCTGAAAACCTGCAGCCGGTGTTCTCCAGGTTCAAAGGGATGGCGCGATGAAACGTTCGCGATGCTGGCGTCTTTCTTTTTCCGCGTGCGTTCATTCACGCGTTGGAAACGCTCCGTCTGGAGGCGGACGGAGAACCTTTGACGGTGAACGCGATTACGATTTATTTCATCGGACCGCGCCGCCCCTGAATGAAACGCGGCCGGTAAAAGAATTTATTCTCCTTCGGGGCCTTCTATTTTTCGCGCAACTTACCCTGATCGCGTTAACATCGGAGAACACGCGATGGAAATGATCACGCGGTAAACCGAGCTTGAACAAATCAATTGCCCAAGCTTTTAACTTTCCTGCGCTTCGTTCGAAGAAGACTGGTCGTGATGGGCCGCACGTAAATTAACCCTTTGACCTCGAGAGGCGATCCTGAGTCACTCAGTTTCACATGGGAAAATCATACTACTTGCGGTGAATCATTTTCACTGATGGTTCTAGCGTTAATACTATGTTTAACTTGCATTTCTAGTACCGTCAACACTTTGACTGCCACGTCACCCAAATTTGGGTGACACTTTTTATTGAAAATTCTTTACAAAATTTCAAATTGCGAAGAATCTTGGCTTTTTAATTTCTGCTTCATTGAGACAACTGGTTCGACTGTATAGAAGTTTCGATGAGAGTTTACTTGGCAGTCAAAGTGTTAATGGACCTTCTAGTCGCAGTCCCATCGAGTTTACAGGCTTCTGATTTTTTTATTGGACCGCGTTCACAACCGTCTTGGGCCGCATGCTCAGAATTGTTAAACCACTCGCACGTTGCCACCGCTTTTCCGGGGGCCGAAGCTTTTTACAATGTAAAACGGAACGGCCGGCTCCCGCTGCTAATGACTTTTACGGTCTTTTTTGCTGGCGGACGTTCGCACTACAAAACGCAATAATCGTTGATGACCGGACTTGAAAAAGTATAGTGATTAAGGGCAATGGAATCGTAACTGTATACGGTTACGAGAGAGGCGAAATGATTCTTCGTTGATGCGGGAGGTAATGAGTGAGTCGAGGAGTTTGTTTGTTATGTATTTAACAGAATAAAATAGCTTCTGCGTCGATATCGTGGCAACGAAATGAGTGCAATTGGAAGTTGCTGTATATTTATGTTTATGTAGTACGTAGTCTTGCGATGAGCTCATAATTAGTGCATTTCTGATTATTTCTAGTTCCATATTGAAATGCAGGAAAATTCGTTTTCGTTAGAAGAAAATATTGATAGTTGATTTAAGAATCTATGAAATTGCCTGTTATTCTGTGATCAATGGGACGCAAAGAAGTTATTTACGAGATTAGAGAGTTTAAATCAAGGTTTTAATAGAATTAAGAGAACTTGATTGTTGTTAATGAATATTACCTTGAAGCCAGTGATAGGTAGTATAGAATAGAAGTAGTCATCCAGCATTGGATTCAGACCCACCGATAAACCATATCTTAAGCCCACGCGCTTCACGAGTTTTACTTCTTGATTTCCCTGTCTGTCCCAAAATATCGATGTTCGTAACAAATTCATCTCCAATAGAATACACTAGAGAACATGTAAACGAAACTTACTTCTGTTTGTAACCAGGAATGTAATTGAAAGTGCAACAGAATCCATTGTGCGTTCTCCTGACCTCGAAATACTCCATACAATGTTTCTCCTCGTTGTGAAACGCGCAAGTGACTAGCAGATCCTCGCATCTCGGCGTCAACTAGTTTTTTCAATGAATACATCCAAGAAGAAAGCGACAGGTGCTTAGGGTCTTGATAAAATTTCGGTTCTACTCACGTCTCCCATTATCCCAGCTAGGTCGTAGGGTACACCGTAGTATCGTGTCAGGATTTCAGTGATTGCAGCCTCCCCGTCGTCGTCCCCATTGAAATATGGGTCGTACATATGGCCGAGCATCTGGATCGCGCTGATTATTTCGTTGACAGTGAAGTTCGTAACTTTCGAGTTATATCTGCCCACACATTTAATTCTTTGAGAAATTAAACAGCATTCGTTGCGCTACATTTAAACTATTCTCGAGTTGAGACGTGTCGACTGCTGCAGAGATATGAATATGAATTGTTTTTGAAACTTCGAGATTAGAGCATTAGAAAATTAGAGAATTTGACAATTTGAAAGCTGGAAAATTAACGAATAAGAGAATTGAACAATTTGAACACTGGGATATTGAAAAATTCAAAGGTTCAAAAATTTGTATTGCTAATATTACTGACATCGCAGAATTTTCTACCGGAAATTCCAGTTGCTGCATAATTAAACATTGCTAGTCCTACACTTCATCTCACCGAATAATTGAATATTTAATAAACTCATCGGACTGTTATTTATCTCGCACATGTTCGCGTTCATTAAAGCGTAGTGCGAATCAATAACTGCGAGAACCATCTATTTCGAAACAATGAACAGGTTCGCGTCGTGAAGCGACGACGAGCGCGTACGCTGTGGTTATTAGAGTGATTAGATAGCGGCTGAAACGGTCACAGTGTCGAAGCGCAATTATTGAAATTATCTACCGCGTGACGAAATCGATACATCAGACCGTCTATGAAAACACCGGTCGCTTCCTATCTCTGCGAACGTCTTCTCTGAAATATTTAACCGTTCCTCACACGTCATTTGCGAAACCGATCGCCTTCCGTCGACTTATTCTGTTGACACTGCATATCGCCACCGCTGAAAATCCAACGGATCAATTAAAATTTAGCAAATAAAACGCTCCATATATCACTTCGCTCGCCCAACAGCGCTTAGAAAACCAATATTAATCGAAGAAAACGTCAACTCCAATTACCGCGGTAATTAAACATCGAAAAACATCAAACAACCAATTCAAACGCATCGATCATCGTTTCTATTTCCTAATGACTAACGCAACGATCGGTTTCGTTTCATCCTCGGTTTACCAGAAACTTTAATGACTCGAATTGTTCCTGTTCCCGGCAGCCGCCGGTAAAAACGTGAACGCGAATAAACCGGCCGCGGTCTAGTTGCCCGATGCGTCAACGCGAAGGCTTAAAAACCAATCGAAAGTTCTGATTGGCCGTAATCTGGAATCATTTGCTCCGGTAATGCCGTTTAATTAGACTCCCCCGTCCCTCGTCCCGTTGAATTTAATAAAACCGTTTCCCCGCGATGGGAACGGCCCGGCCGTCGGGGGTGGGAATAAGTTTTTATTTCGCTTCATTCCTGTAAATGCACTCGCGGCCACGGGGAAGGAACGAAATAGAAGAAAGCGGGGGGAAAAAAGGAAGGTGGAAAAGGAGAACACGCGAATCTGCATAAACATCCGCGGTCCAATCCCAAGTAATCCCAAGCTGTTGAGGGTACGAAGCGAAATTATCATGCCCGGGGAATATTTACCGGGGAATTCCACGTACTCGGTGGGAAAATAGTCCGACTCCGGCGTGGTCGTTATAGGCGTGTGAATGTACTCGCGGTAAATCGTGGAAACGTAAGTGTACACCATCCATACGGTGAACCCGTACATGACAGTCCAGAGGATCCTGGAAAAAAATATCCCGATGAAAGGAGCGGAGGCTCGGGGACGCTCGCAGAGAGGAAATATACACCGTGAAATGAGTTTCCCGAAATACTCGCCGGAAACACTCGAATCCGCCTGCGTAACCGTTCGACGTATATTCCGAATATTCCGGCAAAAGAGCAAGTGTTTTCGACCGTCGATGGGTATCGATGCTTTTATGAATATTTCCACGGATTTTGAATAAATCACCGGGTTTTTGTTTGCTCTGATATGGACGCGTTTCGAAGAGAAACGTAAGCAGGAAATCTACAGTTGTTTGTGAATTGTGGATATTCGTGCGTTTCTAGGTTTTCAGTTTCAGAAAGTAGGATTACGATGGGAAATGGTTCTTTTAGTAAATATTGTAGAAAACCATCTTGTATTCAAATTCTGAGTTTTTTAGTTTTCTATAAATACAGAAAAATGCACCGTTTAGTTATGGGAATCGATTAAACTGAATCAAGGATACTATTAACACTGTAGCAATTACACGAAGAAGTCCTGTGCACGACATACCATTCACGAGTGTGCAATAAATTTTATCGCCATCTTGTTCGATTTCTCTAGTCTCTCGACGATCGATTCCAAGCAACGCCGCCATTTTCTACGACCTGTACACAATCTGAAACATTGACGAATATGCAGTAAATTTGATCGCTAGCTGGCTCCTCGATTTCGCTGTTCTCCCGACAATCGATTCCAAGCAACACCGCCATTCCCTACAGTCTATCCTCGGTCTGAAACATCGGCGACCGAACGGATGTTCGTAAAATTTGAAGAGACTTTCATGGAACGTTTGAGGCTCGCCGGGTGCCCGCGGACTTTCGCGAACGACTGTACAATGCTCGTCACCGTGTCGAACGGTTTAATCAAATTTTTATATTATAAATTCTCGTAAAAATGGGCGGTCGCCGGACGGCGCGGGGAATGGTTTTAAAAAGCGGGCGACGCTCCTTTTCCGAAGAGCGTAAAACACGTTCGGCCGCCATTAAGCACGGCTGATTGCAAACGCGGCCCGCCCGTAAAAAATAATACTTAAAACCCGCCCGTAAAGCCGGACTACTTTTATTCCGCGGGAAATGAGAAACTCGTTTACTACCGAATCCCGCGTTATAAGCGCGCCGCCCGCGCTTCGCGATTAATCGCGGCCATTGTCTGCGTATCGCGAGCTATAGATCGATGCTTCGATGGTTCTGTCGCGGACCGTAACATTGGTTCGCGGGAATCCTTGTGAAAAATGTAATATCAGGGGCATTAGATTTATATGAATTTTATTTATTGTTTAGGTCTTTTATGAACTATCTTTGTATTTAAAAAATATAATGCTGGTAATTATATAAGAGTAATGACTATGGTAATGATAAGATATTAATAATGTGCTATTGAATAAATACTAACTAAGACATAATCTTTAGTTAGGAAACGAAAGTGGTCAATATAATACGCGAGTATCTTTTATTTTATATACAATTGAATTGTATTGTTAATATACACAGTATTCTCTGTAACAATTTAATTATTTAACCGAATAGAGCTGAGAATTAGAATGTGGAATACGCGTGTTGTAAGATCGAATTGTTTTTAGGATTAATTTCACGAGAAGATTTCAATGAGAAACGTTGGAATAGAAAATTAGAAATTTGTCTAGTTTGTAGAATTTGAAGGTGTAATTGGTGGTTCTTAATTATTTTTGTGTGTCCTGCAAGTTGGAATAAATGTATTGATAACAATGCATCTGTAACGAGGCAAATTATTTTCATTGAGTTCAATGAAATTTAGGTCGGGGTTAATCAAGTCTTATAAGCACCCTACGACATATAAAGGACACTGCTAGCGTGTGTTTCCTACCGTAAGATACGACGAGATTTATGATTGTGTATCCAAAGGCTCGAGAAGAATTACACGCGTTCGGACTAGGTTTTTCTGAGCTCTAATCTCCTGGAACTTGGTACCACGGTTCGCTAACTTTAATTCCAGAAGCTACGACTCGCTCGCTGGAAAAAACTCGGGAATTTTTTCCTGGAAATAGAAATATCTGTTGCTCTGATTAACCGTCGAAAGACTAACTTGCAAGCGGTGCTTGTCTTGAATGCTCTAGTTTCAAATATTAACAGTCTGTTACTTTTCTCTTCCGCAACGTTCCAACAGAATCGCTAACTCTGTGCAGTCGAAACTTTTTCGCTAGAAATATTCAACATTTACCAATAAGACATTCTTTGAAACTAATAAGAAATCATGCATAAATTAACCAGTTAACTTTAAGCGATGAATTCTTTATTTTTTCACATAAACATGTAATTCTTCTTTGTTTCGCCTTGATCTTCCATTAAAATATACTCTACGCGCATTCATCCTGCGTTCGATGAATGCACGCTCCATTTTTTTATTTTATTGCGCGCACAACGAGAGGTTTTTCCAACTAAATTCCACGGTTAACTGGTTAAGAAACGAAGCTGCGTGATTCCAATATGTCACGTATCGATGCATTAATACAAATCATTGGTTACATTAGCTATAATATACCGAGTGTCACCTCTCCGTTAATGGTCGAAATTCCCTTTACACGGTACCGTCATCATTCTAACAGGGACGAATTGCTGGCGCGATTCTCGGGCGGCGAGGGCGCGAACCGCAACCATCGCGGCCCGCGGATATATCCGTTCGCGGAAATTTCAATTTACCTCGCGGTCCACGTAGCCCGATCTTCCACGAGGTACTTGAGGCCCATCATACTGGAATGCCTGCAGTAGAGCTTGAAGTATTTTATTAATGTTTGAAAGCAGCTTGATTGCGCGGAGCGTTTGCGTGTAACCGGCTCGGCCCGTCCGTACGAAACGGCGAGTTTTCCCTTGTGTTGCGGCCGCGCGGCCGGCATTTCCCTGTTCTTTGTAGCCGTCGTTCCGCGTAACGAGAACGCGCCGGCCGGAATGCCGGATTTCGGGATGGGAATTCCGGGTTATAGCCTGCGTACGCGCCGCAAATCCTACGGAGATCGGGACTCTAATTAGCCGCGGTTGTTCATCGAAATAATACCCGCGACTGCCTCCAGAAAAAGGAAAGCCGCTCGGATTCCGCCGATCCAGATTAATCGGGTCGAGCGTTTAATTGCGATCGAGCTGATTTGAGAATATTGCGAACGCGGTCTTTGCTTTTTGATAATTTGTTGGTTTTCGTGTTTTTCCGGTTGTAATAGGTGCTAGTGGCAAGGTTTTATCGTGTCGTGTTTCCTTTGTGAAGAATTGTTTCGTTACTGATGTTATTAAGTGTTTCTATAAAGATTTCTGTAGTAGTTTATTTTTCCTTTAGATCACAGATTTATTGTGTTGTGTTTCTTTTGTGAAGAATTGTTTCGTTACTGATATTATTGAGTGTTTCTATGAAGATTTCTGTAGTAACTTTTCCTTTGGATCACAGATGTATTCTATTGGGTAGAATTGATTTGAGAATGGATTTACCAATTCTCCTTAAAGCGTAGAGAGGTGTTAACTGTGAGTGAAATTTCGATTGCTAATTCGAGAATTAAATACTCTCCGATATCACAGAAGTTCGCAGTATTAAGTTACTGTATTAAATAAGAATAGTCGACGCGTAACATCACTTATTCATAGATTCGCGTTTCTTCTACTGCGCAATGCAACGACAGAAACTAATTAAGTAGAGAAGGGGATTGGAAAATCGTAGTCCCAACGGAAACCGATACCTCGTATCAAAAGAAACGCGAAATAGACTCAGCTCCCGAGCCCCGATGAGCAAACGCACAATGGCGGTCGTATAGCTGGCGGTTACGCGACGATCCCCCATCAGGATTTCCTCGACGACTGCACGTTGCAACGACGGGGATCGTGAAACGACCACAGTCC